CCCAACATGGTTCCCATATATTGAAGATGAAGTTTGTGTGAGGTACTTACTAGGGATGAATGTGTTTCGGGCCCAACATGGTTCCCATATATTGAAGATGAAGTTTGTGTGAGGTACTTACTAGGGATGAATGTGTTTCGGGCCCAACATGGTTCCCATATATTGAAGATGAAGTTTGTGTGAGGTACTTACTAGGGATGAATGTGTTTCGGGCCTAACATGGTTCCCATATATTGAAGTTAATGTGAGTTGTTAGGGGTAAATTAGATCTTAATTTGTATGGACATGGTCTCCTGATTTTCGTTAAATTGAAATTAAATTCAAGCATGTCTAAAAAAAACATATGCGCAAACTTAATTCGACTTAACACATGTCTTCTTCCTCGAATTCAGATCGAGCGGGACCTTAAACTGTAAAATTTGGACCTTCTAGTTCCAAGTCACTTCTATTGGTTACATTCCGACACCTCAGATAAACATACAACAATGCATACTCTTCTGTAGCAGCATTCTGAATAACTGAGATAGTTTCCAAACTCCTTGATGTTATTTTTTTTTTTAAAGTACGTAGTTAGTTTCTATGATTTTATCTTAGACTTCTACAAATAACCACTAACGTTGTTCATTCACCAGAAACACCTAGACTCATGCACGACTTACTCTCAAAACACCTAGAGACTATTTTAATAATTTTCTAACAGCGTACCTTTACATTGATTTGGATTCTCATGAAAAGTTCCACAAAATGAGTCTAAATGTTTTACCTCGAGCTTGGAGCTATTACCCTTCACAACACTAGCCTGCAGATCTGTTGCGTCACTGGAGCAGTAGTATTCACAGTTCCTTAGTCGAGGTTCCGAGTGCCCGTAATAGCCATCTAGTGACAAGCAGAGAAAATTATCGATTTAATTTTATAAGGTGCATTTTATTTTTGTATGTTGACTCGACTAAACCTTGTGGTCTGAAAGAAGATCGATTTCACACCACAGAAAAGCAGAAGCGATTCATTTTAAAGTTATTTTTTTCATTCACGACATTCAATTTGATTATTTCTTCTTTTTTTTTAGTATCTAAAATATATTAGTTAAGGTATAAATTTCTATTGTTAACTTTTAAGTCAACTTCAATATTTATAAAGAACTCAGATTGATTATTTACTTAAATAATCTAAAAAAAGGGCAATAATCAAGGAGAATAAAATTAATTTAAACATCCGACAAGTGAAACTTGAAAGTTAATTAGACACAACCCGTATATATTCTTCACATCTAAACAAAAGTTACAGTTGTTCCTCTATCCTCAGCGGCACAGCGGTATGTCTGCGTACTTTTAACGCTAGAAACCGGGTTCCTATACCCGTGGTGGGAAGAGCACAGATATCCCATTGTGGAGCTTTGTGCTTAACTATAAACAAACATACTTTATTAAGTTTTACAATTCCGTGTTATGATTGAGCTTAAGGATATTGAACTGTGACTGGTATTGTTAACTTCTGTAAAATTTTCGGTTCACATTAAATTAATCTCCATAGTCCATTACTCCACATCGCATAGCTAAGGTCCAATAATGTTTACTAGCAGGCATTTCCCTCGCACTCAGCGCCCAGTGATAGTCACTAGTATACAACATTACTCCAGATCGCATGACGAGATCACTCGGTAACCTTGTTAATATAATCTTAGCCAAAACTGTATAGCATTGTTATACGCATTCTAAATTATGTTTAGTTAATAGAACAATAGAATATATCATTGTTCCAGACAATATACTTAATTATCAAACGTTGGTCACTACTGTAACTCACTACTATATATCTGTGTAAGATTTCATAAGTGCCATCTGATATTATGTTAACCAAATAAAAAACTACATGAGTATTAATTACCTGTCATATTATAGAATATTCATCCAGTCCTAAGCTGGGATACAACGGGGTTTGATACAACAGTAAGCTAGAATTGGAATTTTCCAAGTGAATCATATGCGCATGTGGGCCTATGTACTGATCAGAAGGAAAGGAGACAATTAGCGACATCCACCGCCTCAAAGGTTGTTGTTGTTGTTGTTTTCGGTTCTTTTAAACCGAATAATTTCAAATTTAGACCTTATGTTCCGCAGCTCGACAGGTGGATCACTTGGCCATGCCTGGCTCACAATGATTCATTTTATCATGTTTGATAGTACAGGGTGGCGCAAAACTTACCATACAGTTGGATTAGGTAAAAGTTACTATACAGTTGGATTGGATAAAAGTTACTATACAGTTGGATTGGGTAAAAGTTACCATACAGTTGGATTGGGTAAAAGTTACCATACAGTTGGATTGGGTAAAAAATACCATACAGTTGGATTGGGTAAAAATTACCATACAGTTGGATTGGGTAAAAGTTACCATACAGTTAGATTGGGTAAAAGTTACTATACAGTTGGATTGGATAAAAGTTACTATACAGTTGGATTGGGTAAAAGTTACCATACAGTTGGATTGGGTACCCAATCCAACTGTATGGTAACTTTTACCCAATCCAACTGTATGGTAACTTTTAAAAGTTACCATACAGTTGGATTGGGTAAAAGTTACTATGCATCTGATATCATACGGTTGATATGATTCGTGTTATACAGCTTATACTAAGGAAAATCTTGTGAAGAAAATTGATACCAATTAAATAATTGTTTGTTTCAGAGCAAGACGTTAGAAGTTGAAACTGAGTCCTAAATGAAACAGTAATATAGTCATTGTATATAAAATACAGATAAACAATAAACATGGCGACATGAACTGAAGGGTGAAGGTTTGTATATGAAATATAGATAAATAATAACACAGAAGAGTGTGAACTGAAGCGTGAAAGTTTCTATATAACACACAGATAAATAATAACACAGAAGAGTGTGAACTGAAGCGTGAAAGTTTGTATATAAAATACAGATAAATAATAATACAGAAGAGTGTGAACTGAAGTGTGAAAGTTTTTATATAAAATACAGATAAATAATAACACAGAAGAGTGTGAACTGAAGTGTGAAAGTTTGTATATAAAATACAGATAAATGATAAAAGAGAAGAGTGTGAACTGAAGTGTGAAAGTTTGTATATAAAATACAAATAAATAATAACACAGATGAGCGTGAACTAAAGTGTGAAAGTTTGCTTGTTGACGTGAATGACACTTTATGGGCATTATGGCCTAAATGGGTAGGTCAGAGACCACTACAGGTTAGGCATAAAACTTCCTAATTTTGATCGGCGGACCAGAGGGAATTCTACTAGTCGGCAGCACCCGAAGTAGCTATTCTTAACCGAATAATAGTATTTACTTTTAATCTAATAACGTTCCCACAGCTGCAATTGTGATACGTTAACTACTAGGTCACACTTCAATCGAGGTAAGAAACGTGTTTGGTAACACCACAACTCGAACCCGAGACTCGGATTCTCAGTTAGATATGCCAGTCACTGGGTTCCTACCCGATTGACGCTTGAAACGTGTTTTGTAACACAACGACTCGAACCGTAGACTCGGACCTTCAGTCAGGTAATTAGGCTACGCTTCGACCTAAATGTACAAGGATTCTGAGAAAACACGTTGTCAAGGAAATGATTAGACCCTAGAAGAAAGAAGAAGCAGCAAGGAGGAAAGTGGGCTAGAAAATGAGAAAAAAAGATAAGTGTAAAATCTGTCTAACATTAATCATTTATTAAACAACAACTATCTACCATTAGTTATTTACTAAACAACAACTGTCTATCACTCGTCATTTAGTAAGCAAAACCATCTAACATTAATCATTTACTAAACAACAACTGTCTAACATTAGTCATTTACTGAACAACAACTGTCTAACATTAGTCATTTATTAAACAAAACTATCGAACATTAGTCATTTACTGAACAATAACTGTCTAACATTAGTCATTTACTAAACAACAACTGTCTAACATTAGTCATTTACTGAACAACAACTGTCTAACATTAGTCATTTATTAAACAAAACTATCTAACATTAGTCATTTACTGAACAATAACTGTCTAACATTAGTCATTTACTAAACAACAACTGTCTAACATTAGTCATTTATTAAACAACAACTCTGTAACATTAGTCATTTATTAAACAACAACTCTGTAACATTAGTCATTTACTGAACAATAACTGTCTAACATTAGTCATTTACTAAACAACAACTATCTATCATTAGTCATTTATTAAACAACAACTGTCTAACATTAATCATTTATTAAACAACAACTGTCTATCATTAGTTATTTACTAAACAACAACTGTCTAACATTAGTCATTTAATAAAAACAACTAAGATTAGTCATTTACTAAACAATTACTGTCACAACAGACAGACCGTCTCCAGGAATTAGCCATTAATATAATTGATAGTATCATATGTTACCGAAACAAAACCTGCAAACTTCTCAATTTCTGGGCTGGGCATAAAAGGCATTTTTAGTGTAATCAAACAACCATAAAACCATTACAAACAAGTAATAAACAAAAACTTTTCAAAAACGAAGTAAATGTAGGGATGGCTAATATCAATCCTTCAAAAACAATGTAAACAAAATAGTAGGGATAGCATTTGCATCATCTCTACATAATAGCACAGGTACACAGTGTGGTAGAATGTTAACAGACAAAAATTATGATAAATTCAATTCAGTTGTGATTGAATAATTATACATATTGCTATATATTAATTCTTGCCTATGTTATTATGTGGGATGATGCAAATACCATCTTAACTACTTTGTTTACATTGTGTTTTAAGGATTGATATTAGCCATCCCTACATTTACTTCCTTTTCTGAAAAGTTTTTCTTGACTTGTTTCCTTGTTGTTGTTTTTAATACAATGTTTCAATAGACATAGGAAGGTTGTACTTATAGCCAAGTCCTAAACGCAATGAGATTCCAACTGTAATATTTATTGATTATCTATTATTGGCTGGTAATTCCTGTTTCTCGCTGTACGTAAGCTTTTTTAAAGGAACACCAAATGTTTGTAAGAAAGCTAGCTTCGAGGGGTAATGATAAAATCATTTACACTAGAATTATGATTTTTTAATTACTATTAGTTATTAATAATATTTATAAAAGCAGATACTCCGTTTTAAACTCTGTCACGTCAGTGAAATTGGTTGACTCCATTGTTTTGGTTTTTGAGTTATCATGTAATAAAAAATAAGTAGAAGAAAGAAGAACAAGAAATTCAAACTTTTTGCTATGATATTTACAGACATTTACAGAACTTGTGACTAAGTCATTACATAGATATTGTTATAAAAGGAAACACTGTATAGTATTGTACAGTTATGATGACTTATTGAGGAGATATTTAAAGTACCGTTTCGATTAATAATCCCAGCCATCCCTATATAGGCAGTACTACCGCCTGCCTGTTATACTCAAACAACCATAAAAGGCATTATAAATATACTCAAAAAACCATAAAAGGCATTATAAATATACTCAAACAATCACAAAAGGCATTATTAATATAAGCAAACAATCACAAAAGGTATTATGAATATAATCAAACAACAATAAAAGGCATTATAAATGTAATCAAACAACAATAAAGATCATTATGAATATACTCAAACAACAATAAAAACCATTGTAAATATACTCAAATAACAATAAAAACCATTGTAAATATAATCAAATAACCATAAAAAGCATTATAAATATAATCAAACAACCATATAAGCCATCATAAGTATACTCAAACAACCATATAAGCCATCATAAGTATACTCAAACAACCAT